CTGGCTGGGAGGTCGATCCATTAGGACTCTAATATAATTTGTATCTAGATACCTTTACAGAGTGGGTCAAAACTTAAAAAACTAAGAGCATACTTAAACAATATATGTAATCAGCATTTTACTATGCGTTCCAAGTTTGAGATGCACACCGAAGTTTTATTTTTTGAATGCAATGCATTTTATTACAACACATACGAGCCCTGTCTCAGTGAAGTTGGCCCAACGCCACAACATATGATATTTGTGAGTATTTGTCTTCTTTGCAAAATGATTTGTGTATAGCACTTAAGTTGAATGGTCTGTTGTTCGCTTCGATAAAATAAAGGTAGGCTTTTTAAAACAAATGATAGCATTTTACGTTACTAAGAACCTGATATTCGACGTTAAATCAACTTTCAATGGATTGGTGTTGATGTTAATAATCAAAAATGGCTCGTGGTAAAGCTGTTTCTGACGAAATAAGAAAAATGATCATTCACTTAAAAGGCCAAAATGCTTCCCAAATCGCTGGACAGTGTTAACAAATCCAGGTATACAGTTCAAAATATTATTAAATTGTACAAAAATCCAGAACTGAAAGTCGCCTGCATTATTAAAATTCCAACTTGAGAGTCTTAAAACGGATTATCAAGTAAAATCGGCATGCTAATTATAAGAATTCAAAATATTATAGAATCAGGCAACCACAAAAAAGTTTTCAAGAGCAACTTGTTACAGAGCTGCCCAAAAACTGGGATTTAAAACTTACAAGGCGGAAACAAGAGCAGAAACGGCGAAAACACAAAGATTATTGGAAATAGCAGAAAGTCTTTCGAAAAATAACAAAGCAAAGTCTAAGAGCCAGAGTAAGAAATGAGGAAATAATAATAAATGGTAAAGAGGAAATAAACATGTGGACCAAAAGAAGAAAAATAGAATGGAATCAACACATAGAAAGAATGGCAGAAAATAGAACAGTACGAATAGCAAGAGACAAATCGCCAAATGGAAAAAGATCAATGGGATGACCGAGGAAAAGATGGTCAGGCAACATCAATTGAGGCCAAAAACCGAAGTAAAACAGGCATGAGCCTATTAATAAAATAGGAAGAAGAAGAAGGTAGGCTCAAATTATTTTTGTATTATTCGTTTTTAATTCAGTATTTCTAGGCAGAAGAGAATCCCTTACTGACAAAGATTCAGAAGAAAAACAGACTAGCGTGGGCCAAAGAATACAAATTATGGTCTCCGAACCAATGGAACTCCATTATTTGGAGTGATGAAGCCAGATTTGAAGAATACGTAGGTGTAGGAGTCGTGTCATAAGAATTAAATAAGAAGTGTTGCAGAACGACTGTCTTAAAAAGTCAAGTTTCCGGCTGCTGTTATGATTTGGGGATCTATGCCAGCAAGTGGAGTGGGAAACTTACACTTTGTGGAAGGTATTATGAATGCTGATAAGTACATCAGTGTGCTTCAAAATAACTTGTGGCCCCATCTATCTTCCAACAAGATGGTGCCGTTTGCCATATGGCGAAAAAAGGAAAATATTGGATGTTAGAAAAAAATATTTCAGTTTTAAAATGGACGTCGAGCAGTCCAGATCTATCGCCTATTGAAACCGTGTGGCATATCATGAAGAAAAAGCTCCGATCGAATCCCGCAAGAACCGTTCTAGAATTGCGAACCCGTCTCCAACAAATTGAAACAAATTGTACATCGTCAATTCAGCAAATTGTTTTAGAATGTGACATAAGTTATTCATCCGTTTGGAAAATTCTTCACAAATATAATAATCGCTCATTCAAGTACCAATTACACCAACAAATTTACGTCGACCACGACCGAATATTAACTTATTGCAACTGGTTTTTGACTAAATACAGAGATGTAGAGGAAAGGAACCAAATTTGAAAGAAGCGCCTAATTTCAGACAGTGGTGTAACTTTGTAGCTTTGTAGCAGGATCTTCTAGTAATACCAAAAAGTTGTGAACTAAGACACAGTAGTATTCTACATGTGTTTACAGTTTAGTTTTGCACATGGTTTGCTGTGACATCACAACTTGTTACTTCTTGGGAGCTAAAAATATTTTTAATAGTGCGAGAAAAGTTACTTAGAACAATTGTCTGATATAAATTTAGTAGTTTACAAATACCTTATTTATTTTATAATATTGTGATTTTATTAGGTATATAATCTAAATATGCTTGTGTACACTTTTTAGCGGAAAATTCCTAATTTGAGATACCCAAGTGTTCCTAATTTGAGACTATCTCAAATTAGGGCACTGTATCAAGATGCAAATGCCTAGAAACACAAGAGTAAGGAGACGGATTATTTAAAAGCCTCAAAAGGATTCGGATAGATACCTTCCCCCTCCAGTTCAAGTTCAGAATGCAGCGGAAGCCTTAAGTTGGATGATTCATATTCTGACGAAAGCAACATGAAGGCGATGCTGAATGTTTATTTTATACGGGTCGATTTTCCGAAGACAAGAAGGATGACAAATGGGCAAAATACAGCCATTGTAGTAGATGGGCACATAAAAATTACCAATAAAATTCTCATTTGAACTTTCTGCAAAAGAAAGGGATTTAAACCAGCCGTAAATTCACAAAAATATTTACTTTTTTTAAAATACATATACTTTGTGTCTGTAAAAAGATACATTTAATATTATTTTTTATTTTAGAGTATGATAGGAGCATAAAATCGCAAGTGTATTTAAAAATATACGCTCGTTTAAAACAACAAGTATTTTATTTTTCCTTTTCAAAAAAAGTATCTCAAATTTGGTTCCTTTCCTCTACGTTTTCCGTTTAAAATTATTTATTCAGACGAAAGTCGGTTTAACTTGGATATGTTCAACCGGAATAATAAAAGGTACTGGTCATAAAGAAACTTACGTCTAATGCAAGAAGGAAATTTACAAGAGCGATTTGGTTTCGATTGCTGGATGGGTATTATCGGAGAAAAACTTTTGGGGCCAATAATTTTCGATGAACAACTTACCGCGGAAAGATATGAACAGTTCCTAAAGAATAAAATAATGGTTTCATTGAAGATTTACCACTGGCTAACCAAGTTGATATCTATTTTCAACAAGATGAGGCTTCACCTCACAATTCTCATGCGGTAAGAGAACATCTGAATGACACCTTCCCAGAAAAGAGGATTGGCACTAATTGACCTATTCAATGGCCTCCGAGTTGAATGAATGAATGAATGAATCTTAAAATTAGAGGCATCCCGGCCACCATAAGGAGCCAGTGCATAGGCCGCTTAAGCGGGCCCTTATGCACCTCTACAATACTTAAATCACAAGCCTCGCTCTTTTAGCGAAGTTGAGAATCGCCTTGAGTCCAAGCTCCTTGACGTCCTGAGGGTCCAAAGTAATGGACCTCAGTATAGTCTGCCTATAGTAGCTCAGAGCTTCACAGCGACACAAAATGTGCGCCGAGGTCTCTTCCTCTACTCTGCAGCGTTCGCACAAGGAATCCTCAGCCACCCCCATCACGTGCAGGTGACGCCTTAACGTGTTATGGCCAGACAACAGTCCCACCAGCAACCTTAGGTTGGCTCTACCCAGAGATAGGCAGAAGCGTCCATCCTTAGCACTCGGCCCTTCAATGAGCTCTCGTGCCTGGCGGAGATGTCTAGAGATACTTCTCCATTTCTGAGAGTGTTGTCTTGCAACCCACGTCTCCATTTTCCTCCTAGCTTTATGCGCGGTCACTCCTAGAGCTGGCTCAGGACCAACGAGCTTGCAGGCTGATTCTGTTTTTGCCAGAGTGTCCGCCGTCTCATTGCCCCTTATCCCAGCGTGCCCCGGTACCCATATTAACGATACCGGATGCCTCGCTGCGAGGCAATCCAGAGCCTACCTGCATTGCAATACAAGACTCGAAGTAATCTTACAGGCACTTAGTGCTTTCATTGCAGCCTGGCTGTCGGATAAGATTGTTAATCTTCTCCTAGGCCCACCCTCCTCCAGAATGTGAGATACACAAGCCAGAATCGCAAAGATTTCCGCCTGGAAAATGGTGGTGTATCCACCGAGAGGCAGAGATAGCCTAGTTCTAGGCCCAGAGACCCCAGCACCTGAGCCCTCTTCGGTGACCGAGCCGTCCGTGTACCAGACCTGCCCGCTCTCTTCAGAGAGTCCCCGGCGACCGGCGTCCCACTCCTCCCTCGTTGGATACTCCACAATAAACTTGCGGTTGAAGCGATATTTAGGGGTAATACGATCACCCCTGCTTAGAAGGACGGGGTCCTCCCTTTCTAATTCGACTAAGATGGCATACGGCCTCCGAGTTACATCCTTAAGTTGTCATACTTTTTCAAAACGTCTAATTTATTTTTCATATTTTAGATCACCAGATCTTCTCCGCTAGTTTTTTTTCTTTGGGGACAATTAAAAATCAGGTGTATAGAACTACTCGCGAAGAACTGGAGCATAAAGTAAGGGCGACATAACGGAGCATCACTGCGGAACAGGTAATCAATGTGGTGCAAGCAACAATAAATTAATAAAGTTGAACTTTGCCGTGATTAAGGAGGAGGCCATTTTGAACATTTAGAACCTTAATGGCACATTTTTTAATTTTACTTTGGTAACAATAATGATATTATATGTATTTAATTCATTTGTATAGTTTACTCCAACATAGGCGAACATGTCTATTTCTTTTTTTTTCACTGACGATAAAATTATTCGCATGTTCTTCTCGTTTGTTGCACATTTTGTATTGAAGCAACACCTTCAATTGGTATACTATACATTATTTGATAAAGAATGAAGTGATTTACAGGTTCCATGGCCCCATGGTTCCATAGATCGAAAAATAAAAATTGAAATAAAAATGACTTTGTCATATATTGACAAGTGACGCATTGTTGAGTTCAGAATGTTATTCTCGATCGAAATAAGTGAAAATATATAGGGTGTCCCATTTAAAAATCGAAAGTTGGAGTCGTGTCCGGTCAAACCGGAAGTACGTCAGAGCAAGTGCCAATGTCAAAAAATGTAAATTCATCAATAATACGCAACTCCAAAATTTCGTTTTTCTATCTTCAATAATAAAAAAGCTATAAGGGTGAGCCACCTTGGAGAATCACCCGGTATAACTCCCTTATTTGTTACCATATGGTTGTCAAGAATTCGAGATTACACAGTCGTTTCCGTATCCCCATAAAAAGTATCGTAAGTGATTGTTTATAAGATCTAGTTACACTATTTATTAGGTTTGTAGTGTCTGCACACTTGTCCGAACTACCAGATATTTTTTGAGGTGATTCTCATTTTTCGGGTCGATATATTCAAGAACTGGTCTAACTGAACGCGTGATACGACACTGACAATGTATATCAATTTTTCCATAACGTTAATGTGTCATAATAATGCATTATTTTAGTGCTGACTTGATGCCATTTTTGCGGTACTTGAGGATTAAAAAGGCCCACATGCCAATAAAGATTGAGGTCACATAGCCCCAGGTATATTTTTCGAAAACAGGTACCGCGTACAGATTTTATTATAGCCAATTATCATACTAATACATAATTTGGCGTTAAAGGAACTGGAGTTCTAAGGATGACTTAACAGGCACTGAAGCACTGATTCAAAACACAATTTTATAGAAGACGGATATCTACAGAGTGAAACGGCCAAATGGAATACATTCACTATATGTAATTTTGCATACAGAGTGATCTTGAAACATGAGACAAAACTACAAGGGGTCATTCTTTGAACTATTTAGAGACTATTTTGTGCAAAGACAATTTTCGAAATATGTACCGTTTCGTTTCAGAGAAACAGATCCCTGATGGACGCCACTGGATATTTGTTTTTCTCAAACAGCAGTTCTTACTGAAACGGCAAAAAGAAAAACCTGGAAAATATTTTCAAGTCTCTGGGGGCGTAGCTTCAATCTTGAATCTAAAAACGTTTCTGTGAATTCCGCTATATTAACCTAACAAAAAATCACCTGATCTTGAAGTTCGAGGATAATCTGAACCTTTTTTGATTAACAATTTTTGCTGTAGTTCTAAAAATAAAGGTTTCCATAAAAAACACCCTTTGTATTAGAAACGGCTGAGCCGATTCGAACAAACTTAGTTTTCTAGTTAAAAAGAGCTATTCTTGGACTATAAATGTTATAATATTTGAAGTTTTGTTAGTTTCGCATGTGGCAGCTAGGGAGGCTTTTTAGACATTCCCACAGAAATGGTTAAAAAAAATTAAATGCATTGGTATGATTTTTATTTATGAAAAAGTTGCTAAATGATGTCTGATGTCAACTAATTTTTCTGGAATTGCTTTTTATTATTAAGTTGTTCTATTTCAAAAAGAAAGCGTTTTAATGCCCCCACAAATGCTCGAAATGCCGACCGTCTCGCTCTGTGCATTCCTGAAGCTTTTCATAAATAGACAAAACTGCAGCTTCAGTTTCAATTCTCAGTATGTTACCATTGCATTAGGAATCCGGTTACTCATATATTCTCTGGTTGTAGGTTAAGTCTGAAACATCCGTCCCCATAAATAAAAATCAAGACAAGTTAAGTCTGGTGATCGCGGCCATGGAAACAGACTTCCTTTTCCAATCCACCGCTGTTGAAATACTGCATTGATATGCTCTCGTACAATAATATCAAAATGTGGTGAACAACTATCCAACTGCAAAAACAAGTTTTGGCGTGTTTCCAGTGGCACATCTTCAAACAACAACGGTAATTGATTGTCCAAAAAGTCAAGAAAGAAATTGAAATTTAGGGATTGCTCGAAAAAATATGGCCCAATAATTCTGCCTCCCAGTATGTCACACCACACATTTAAACTCCAACGCCATTGGTGCTGAACTTCACGCAACCAATGCGGATTTTCTGCAGACCAATAATGCATTTTATGCAGATTGACTCTTCCGTCACTATTAAAGGTGGCTTCATCGGTTATATTTAAATACATTTATATATTTTGAAGGCCATTAGAACTTACCTATAGTCCTTCAAAATATTTTGAACTGTTGTTCCTGATATGCCCAACTCTAGGAACGAGGATTTCCTTCAATATATCTCAGTATCCGATTAATATTTTCTTGTGTTCTTCCAATTCTGTGCCATTAAAACATACATATTCCGAAAACTAATGGGTTGTCCAATAGGGACGCAGGAAAGTAAACGTCAATTTGACATAGACGCCATCTTTGTTTTCGGTCACCAACATGTCATTTTGTTAGTTGAATGTTTACCATTGATCGCTATGGAGTCGTATTCGATTGAAGACCGCATTAAAGTTATTCAAGAGCACTACAAAAATGGTGCAAAAATAAAAAACACGTTTCGCGCGCTTCGTGAACATTTCGGTCCCAATAACCGCCCAAACGAAACAACCATCGGTCGTCTGGTGCGTAAATTCGAGGCAACAGGTTCTGTGGCAAATCTGCCAGGCTCTGGCCGGCCAAGGAGCGTTCGCACACCGGAAAATATTGCTGTTGTGAAGGATAGTGTGAGAGACGATCCGAAACAATCAACAACGCGTCGATCCCAAGAATTGGGCATTTCGAGAACCAGTTTGCTCCGCATTCTCCACAAGGATTTGAATGTACACGCGCCTACAAGATATGCGTTTACTTTCCTGCGTCCGTTTTGGACAACCTCATACAATTGGCTCGTAAGCTCGCCATTAATCGGAGGAAAGCTCTCATATCACAAAGACGCCGATTTGGATATACAGGGTACACGTTATGGTAGTCATTATTGAAATGGGTAATAAGGGGGGTCAAAACAAGTCAAAAAGTTCATATGACCCATGGTACAAACCTCAATAGATTTTTGTCTAAATGGCTTTATAGTTATAACTTTAAGTGTTTTATATAGACCACAATCACCTCAATCTTACTAATTTTTATAATCTAATCTAAAAAGTTTTTAAATTAGGTAATTAACAAATAAATGGCATTAAGTTTTTCTAAGTTAAGCCAAAATTTGTAGTCAGTAAGAAAGTAAGTTCCACTAAATTAAATATTTAAAACTCACTTGACAACAGCGCGTCGGTCATAATCACTCTTATTGAACCGGCAATCGATCGCAAACGGTAACAGTGGTTAGTTATCCGTTTGCATAGTTTTGCGGCGTTGTCAGATTTATTTTACTTTAAAGTCGCCTTTCTCTAAAAAAATGCCGTTTTGACCCCCCTGTTATATCAAACTTTTGGCTTCTTTAAACCCCCTCTATCACCCTTTTAAATAACGACTATCATAACTTTTACACCTTGTAGAGTCGCGGAAACTCTTTTTGCTAATGCGGCATTCTGAATGAATTCAAAATAAACTGCAAGCATATCAACAGCTTCATCGTTCGTAAAACGCACAAGGTAAGCACAAAAAATTAAATTAAGGGAAGGAAGACCGAGTCAGTAACAGAGGAAAACATTACTGCTGTGAGGAAAATGCTTGATGACGAAGACCGTAGAGTGACATGCCAACAGATACAGGAGATCTTACACCTTCATGCACCAGCAACTCATTTAATTCTTCGTGACCATTTAGACGTAAGGAAACTTTGTTCTCTCTGGTTACCGCACAGTCTGACGGAAGAGCAGAAGACTCGTCGGACGACTTGGTGCCCAAAGATGCTGAAAATGTTTGATAAGGGGCAATCTCGGTATGTGAACATCATCCTGACAGGTGACGAGACTTGGCTCTGTTATCACGATGTGCCGACCAGGGCTCAAAACAAAGTTTGGATCTTTGATGATGAGGACTCACCTGTAGAGGTCAGAAAATTCCGACGTGTTAAGAAAAAAATGATAGCTGTATTTTTCAAATCGAGCGGGACTGTGGAGCGTGTCGTTTCAGACACAACAGTAGAAAACACTGCTAAGTGGTACACAGAACAGTGCCTGCCTTTTTTTTATACTCAAACCACCACGAAGGCCTAAGGTCTAAGCACTCATAGGGTACCGTGGGGCTATAGGGGGATTCAGGGGAAAGGGGGGACACCACACGGACTCTGGCGAGGGAACACGTGTGCATCCAACATGCACACATTCTGGCCCCGCCTACGAGATCCGCCGGGTGGTACCTCCGCGTTCGACAGTCAGAGACCGTCTACCACCTACGGAAAATCACAACATCCATAGCCACGAGAAAAATTTTTCTTGGGACGGGATTCGAACCCGCACAGCGCACGGCGACTGATCTGGAGACCGAAGAGTCTACCACTGCGGCCACCGCTGCTACCTAAAGTCGTAGAGTCTATGAAAAACCTGCGGCTAGAGTCAAGAATGGACACTTGGTCCCTCCACCATAACAACGCTCCAGCTCACTTCGCCAAAGCCTGCACCGAGTATTTGACCAGTATTAGGCTGAAACTATTGAGCACCCTCCTTATAGTCTGGGTCTTGTATCCTGCGACTTTTCACTGTTTCCGCATGTGAAAATGAAGCTAAAAGGAAAACCGATTTCTAGCGATGAGGACCTTCTGTTGCTTGGGACAACGAGTGTGCCGCACTCCCGGGTGAAACTTGGCAGAGTTGGTTTAAGGACTGGTTTTGGCGGAAGGAGAAGTTCATCGAATGTGGTAGAAATTACTTCCAACGAAGTCAATAAATAAAGCTGTATTGCAAAACTTTTATACTCGTAGTACCCTTTGTAATACTGACGTAGCTTCAAATTACAGAATTGGTATTGCAATTTTGCCAGATACCATCCTGGTAATAGGATATTTTAGAACCTATATTTACAAGAATTCTGGTTTTACCCTCTGCTTTGCAATTTTGGCCCTTATTTTTTTAATCACCCTGTATATGGGCATTGTGTAATGTAAACTCTCCTTTAGTAGCAAACAGTAAGTGGTATAAAAGTAATAGGTGTTGCGCGACATTTCTTTCCTTAAGAGAAATATGTAAGATCTGTATTCACTAGAATTAGATATGCATATCAAGTAAGTGTAATTGCTCTAACGCATGTCTGAAACCATCACTTGCATTTCAAACAGTATAAACTGGTACTTGTGACCTTTTCAATGTCATAACATCATGGATTAATCAGGTAAGTAGGACTAGCAGGATGGTCTATTGCTACATGTTCGAAATTGTTAGACAAAGATTCATATAAGGATACGGAAATGGATACATGGAAAAAAATGGCGTCGAATAGGTTGACTCTGCACTTCTCGCGCAATGCTGTTTTAGTTAATAAAGAATTATGTTCGGCACAGGTTATCCCCTCCTAAGAAAAAGTAAGCTTCGAACATATATACAATTAGTCCATAGACCCGAACATTTAACAACGTTGCCCTTTCAACAGTACTAACCATATGGCAACGTTGAACGTTCCTGTTACTGTATATATGATATACCTTTCGCTGCCCAATTTTTTACCACAACTAAACTTTTTCTAAAAATGATCGGTGGCCTCTTAAACGTCATAAAAACAAAGTTTGGGCGATTTTTTCGTTTCCGCTGCCACTGGACCGATCTCCGAAAACTGCAAAGATTTTCGTACTTGGTATAATAGTAACCTTGCATCAAAATCCGCAAGGGTATTATATAAACAACCTAAGAAACGTCAAAAAGGAAACGACGAAATGTCATCTTGCACACTAGGTAGTTTTCAGTGAGCAAATAGTTCATTCCACGTTTGATCGCTATGATCACTGTTCGCTGACGTTTAAGCAACACGTACAACTACAAAACGAGTTCATAACAACAAAGTGTACAACAGCTTGTGCTAGGTTAACATCTTGTAGGAAAACCTACGTTATGTCACAAAAAACCTACGAAATGTCAATAAAACCGACGAAATATCACTTTTCACTCGTGATGGTATTACGTATCATCATCACAGGCTGTTGTACACTTGTGAACTCGTTTTGTAGCTGTACATGTTGCTTAAACGTCGGCGAACACGATCATAGCGAGCAAACGGGGAATGAAGTATTTGCACACTAAAAACTACCTACAGTATATTCAGATAAGAGATAGACCGGACATAAACAAGACCACGTGATCATCGAACGCTGTAACATTCGGCAGGGACGTATTAAGAGTCACGCAGTACATATTTTAGATAGTAGATGCTGCTTTGCGTAACTTTGTAGTAAATTAGCACAATTCGATGTGTATACGATTGGTGATGGATATAGGATCCTGTGGGGGTGGGGTAAGAAATATATAATGATGTAAATATACATAAGGGTTTCAAAATTTTCGCTTCGATTTCCAGCTTCGATGCCGCCTGATGTTTGGTGAAATACAGTCGAATATAATCTCAAATTGGCGTTTAAATTAGCCTAAATTAAAAATAATCGTATATCTCTTAAAATTGCTTTTAGAATATTGATTAGTATATTTTTTGATTTCTAGGTAAATATGTAACCAAATTAAAACGTTCAAAACGTAAAAAAATGTGCATGGTTGAACATTGTCAGAAAGTAGATTCTTGAATAGGTTTTGCCAAAATGGGTTCAAAAATGTCAATAATTAATTAAAAAATACAGTAGCTTTATAATTACTTATAACTTACCGAATTTGATGAACGACATCTTTTATTGGAAAGATGAGCTTGATGAGCTTTCATCATCGCTACTGCCTGAAGCACCAACGTCAATAATGAATGGCTCGACTTGTTCCTCTAAAATATTGTCCAGTTCCCACATTCTCTTTTCAACTTTGTCTTTCACGTGCTTAATACAGTTTTCCCATTTTTGCGCTGTTATTAATTCTAGTG